TTCTATAATATTTGTAATTTTGTAAAGCAAAGTTTTATTTCTAAGTTTGTCGTTGTATCCATAAACATTGAACAGAATGACAGTGGCTTTTTCTATTGTCAAAACACAAGCTACCCAGTGACCTTCATCATCTTTCTTTTCTGCAACAACTTCACCAGAAAATTTATGAAAACAAATTGCAACTCCTGCCGAGCGATTAGATCCATGACTACATATGATCTTGTCTCCCCATTGCCAGAGCCCTGTAAAGAGCTTTACAGGGCTCTGCCCATTGCTGGGACCAAAATTTAACATCAGACTTCTCAGAATGAGTCTCTTGAAAAAGGAAAATATTTGACCTTAGCCCCTTACAAAAAATAAAAACAGCTTTTCTTTTGACTGAGTCTTTTAAACCCCTCGCATTAAACGATGAACAAAAAAGGCCATTTTGAAATGGCAACAATGAACACATAAACAAATCAAAAAATTAGAAAAAACAGTTAAGGAGGTAGAAATAAAACCTGTAAATGTCCCCTTTTTAAAACAATCTCTCCACATAACCTTCACATATCTTAAATACTCAACCCGCTCCTTTAGGTCTCTCTTCGATGCGCTTGCCGTTGATGTATCCAAATGGGCCTCGGAAACCTGCAGCTTTCCCTTCTTTCCTCGCTTGCTCGATCTTCGGCCACAGCGCTCGTCTTGCCAGAACATCGTCCTTCGTCAGATCTTCAGCAAACCGGACCCCCGCCTCTCTGCACACCGCTGATGACTTTGTTCTTTTCCAGATTTCATCTCGGATGGTTCTTTTGGAGAAGAGGATGATGATCTGTCGGTGCCTGTCCTCTGTCTTTCGTCCTACTCTGTGAACAATGTCCACTCCATCCTCCATCTTCTCCGCCAGCTCTGGGGCTACTTTGCACAGCAGGTTGACGGTGTCGGCTCTGATGTTCTCGTTTACATCTTCTTTTTTCCCTTTCATCCGAAGACTCCATCTTCTTTTGAACCTTTCTTGTTCCACCAGCCTTTCTTTCAAGTCTTCTTTATCTTTAAGGAGAGAGCCCACCTGTTGCTCCAAAGACTTGATTTTAATTTTAATTTTGCAGTCTTCTATGTCTTCTGAGTTCAGTTGTGTTGTTTTAGCTACAGAAGCTAGCATAGCACTATGCTGCTGCAACTGTGAGCTCAGCTCATCCATTCGGCCATCCAGTCGTTGCCCGAGTTGATTAATAGCCCACAAAACTTCTTTCTGCAACAAGTTAGCTTCACTTTCTTCGGATGTATCTTTACATTTTTTCTCCTGTTTACTTTTTTCTGGCGTATTCAGTGGCGTCAGCTGTTCTCTGCCCCGCTTAGCAGAAGAGCTAGCATCCTCCGTTAGCATAGCATAATCATGCTCCGCAGCTTTTCCTTTTTGTCTAACCTGGAGGGATTTTACCTCCTCACGGTTCTTGGAGCTTTTCATCTGGATGGCAGGCGAGTCAAGAGCTTAGATAGTGGAGAATTAACACTTACATGAACATAAATCTGGGACGGTGAGCGCAGCCTCAGTATAACGCGACCACTCCGCTCGACGCCATCTTTCTGCCTCGGTAGGGATTCATCTTGTCCCGTCTAGTTGTTATTCGAGTTGCGTTCACGGGACAGTGCGACGGTCAATTTGCCCCGGTGTTAAACAAACCAGAACCCAAAGCGTTACACATAGCGTTAATTAAAAACTAGAAGTAAATTGTATCGTGCACTAAAGTTCATGCTCATTAATCCAGGTATAAATCCAGTAATGTTCAGTCAGGTCATCTGAACGGTTTCTTTTGTTGCTGAGACGTGTCGTCCTTCATCCGAAGGACTTCTTCAGTCTGAGGAGGCACCAAACGAAACTGAATCCCCCAAAAAGTAGAAAAAAAACCCACTTTTTTTAAATTTTTGTATTGTGCACGGTTTAAATGCAAATGTTCAAGTAAGTTCGAGCAGCTCTGTTACTTTCATTTTGAGATTTTGCTTTTGGAAACTTTAATTCCTCTTTTTCTGGATGTAAATCAAAATTTTTTTGGATGATTGTTTCCTCTGGTATCGGATGCTGTGCAGCTGGAAGGATTTTTACTGAAACTTTTTTAGTTTTGGACATTTGTTATGATGCGTAACCATGGCAACAAGGCAGTTTTCTACAACTAACAGCAGCTGATTAACATCTCAAAAGCTCAAATAATATCTCAACTACAGCCCCAAATCTCAAATGAGTTGAAAGGATGTTCTATGGACGCATTCTCATCTACCTGCCAGCTGTGCTCGAGCGCCTGATCACTGAGATCCTGGAACTAGCAGGAAACATGGGTCATGACAGCAGAAGGACAGGATGTCCCTCGACACCTACAATTGGCTGTCCACAGCAACAAGAAGCTTGTCAGGCTGCTGGGAAGAGTGGCCATCGCTCTGGAAGGAGTTCTGCCCGATATTCGGGCGGTCCTACAGCCCGAGGGAACCGAGAGGCCAGCTGAGTCTGGGTGGACGGATCGAATGGCATCTGCAGCAAGTTTCTTAGGATCCACTGTGGGATGGACCTTTACAAGAGATCCTTCCTGTCTACAGCCATCAGCATCTATAACATCTCTTAATGAAATGAAGATAACGAGTTACAACAACAAATAATTTCCCTCTGGGATTAATAAAGTATTTTTTAATTGAATTGAAGTTTATAAGGTTAAAAGAAAAAATAGGTAATGTGCAAACTTGTGACCTGTCCACAATGCACCCCGCCTCTCGCAGTGACTGCTGGAAATGGGCACCGGTGACCCAAAAAGAAGCAGGTGAAAGATAATGGATGGAACATACAATTTCTTATGTCTTACCACACAAGGGAGCAGGATGGAGAAGTCTTTAGACCTGCTGCCTCACAGCAAGGTCAAAGATCAACTCCCAGCCAGTGTGCAGTTTGCATGTTTTCTAGTTTAATTTCTTTACACAAACCTAAACCCTGCATGTTAGGCTGATTGGTAACTAAATTATCCCGAAGTGTGAATGTGACAAAGTGTCTCTGTGATGGACATGTGACCTGTCCAAAGTGTCTCTGTGATGGACATGTGACCTGTCCAAAGTGTCTCTCGTTTTTCACAGCAACTGCTGGAGATAACCAGCTCCCAGGACCAGGAAAGGAGAAGAGCATTAAAAAAATGAAGGGATGGAAAAATCCAAATGATGGGGAAAAAACAGGCTTTTGCAAAGTAGAATAAATTATCTTTTATCACCCCATGAAACTCAAAGGTCAACATTTAGATAAAAATATATAAAATATTAATCAGTTTATAAATAATGTAAACAAACTAAACTTCTTGGGATTAAACGTAGAAATAAAACACTTTTGATCTGTGTCGTTAAAGTGCAGTTGTGGCAGAGTAAAGGTTTTTTTTAAAGGCTACAAGTCTAATAAATTTAATCTATTTAAACTTTCCATGAAAACATACAACTATGAATACTTATTAGTAGAATAATTATTTTTGTCTTGTAAATAATGCTTATACTTTTAACGTCTGTTATTTTGGTTTATCAGGTCTCTCTTGTAAATGAGTCCTCGAGGCTCAATGGGATTTACCTGTATAAATAAAGGTTGATTGATTTTGTGCACTGATCTGAGGGAACGTGGTAGTCCAGTGGCAGTGCTGTGGTCATCTTTCTGAGGCTGCAGGTTCAAGCCCAGGTTGCAACAGATTTAAAACTAATATAAAATCTTCTGTGTGTTTCTGAATGTGGCGACCTCTCAGGAAAGCAGCTGAAGGAAAACAATCACACTGATTTGCATGCATATTAAAAAATGCAGTGTTACTTTTACATTTCTATTTTTTAACATCAAGATAAAAGCTAGTTAACATTTTTTTTTTCCAATATAAACATCAAATAAGTCAACACTTTAAATTTGAGTAAAATGACTTTTGTGCCAAGTTAATGGTGTAAATGAATATCAAGGTCTAAGGGAGCGTCCATTTTTACAGGGAACTTGATTTAAATGTTTTTGCATGAAGTTTGTAACAAAACAGACCTGCTGGAGTAAAGACACCAACACACAGACGCTCTGCAGCAAGTTGAAGGTGTTTATTCAGAAAAAAAGTCAGTAGTTTGTTTACAGCTGGAAGGAAATAAAATATATATTATCATACACAAACTTTAAATTCATTGAAACTTATATGAAAATTAATTTTCATCAAAAGAAGTACTTTTCAATCTAAAAGTTTACATCTTAGTCATTAAAAAGTCCTGTCAAACACACTGATCTGCAGATCCAAAATCAACATGAGACCAGGATGACTACCTATCCTTGTTGCCACGGAGATCAGTGGTCACAGGGTCGTGCTGAATGGTTTGGTGCAACATCAGGGCGAGCAGACCGGCTCTGTTGGTCATAGCAGTCCGGACATTACGCTCTTGCTCAAAAAGCTCGTCCAGCTTGTACCACTGCGCGGAGACAAAAGGTTTAATGTTGTTAAGCATCAAAGTAAATGTTGTGGCCATTTACGTTGAAATTTTGTAAATCACAAGTTCTATGAATTTAGTTTTTCCTTGGGCAGTTAGAATATATTTTAGTTAACTTGGAATCAAAATCCGCACTTACTTTTTATTATGCAATTGTTTAGATTGGTAGCTTTTGGACCCGCCCATTAATTAAAGAGATTAATAACACACCAGAGGGGTGTGGCGGAAGGCTTTGGTTTGTCAAATGTCCTGTGACGATGGGAGGTTGTAGAATGACTTCTTTTTTTTTTTTTTACCACTTTTTGAACTTTTAAGATGAGATTAAGTTAACTTGTGTTTTCATCCAATTTGTAAGAGATTTTTTAGTTATTGTTTTGTCCATTTTGGGGGGAAATAAACTACATATATTTTTCAAACAATCAAGTTGGAAGTACGTTCAAGAAACTGACCACCTGTTGCCACACACGGCCTTTCTTGGAATATTTTGGTTTGGAACATAGAAGGCCGCGACAGTAAATCTTTTAACAGACAGATGCAGCTTATATCACATTAGGACCTCATGCTAATTTTAGGTAAATAAGTTGCCATGGCTACAGGATGGGTTAAACAAATGTGGTTTAAAAACTTAAGTAAAACCTTTCAACAAATGTCATAAGTTGGGGACTTTTTTATTTTTCAGTTTCAAATAAAGAAAAGCAGCAGCCTTTAGGTGTGACTCACCACCCTGACACGCTCCAAGTCCACCTCAGCTCTCCGAAGCTTCTCCCAGTTGTAATGTTTGTTGCACTTCCGTTTGGAAACTCGACAGTAATCTCCTATCAGCTCGAACACATTCTTCACCAGAGGACACCCACACACCTCATCCACTGGGACCTGGAAACCAAACAGGAGCAGTTATTAGACATAAAAACAAACAAACAAACAAACATGAGATGGAAGCAACAGAAAGCAATTTTCTCTTTCACTCTCGACGAAGACGATCGCCATTACCCTCCCTCCTGCTTTTTTACTCTTGTCCTGTCAACCTCAGAGCCTCTCTTTACACATTTTCCGAATTAAAAATTATTATGGATTTGGTCAGCTGGTCCCTCAACGCAATTGATAATTTTTTTCTACCAAACGACAGGGTGCTGGAGAGCCCTCATGTCCTGAACAGATCCACACAACTGGGTATGTCATCGATTCCTGGAGTGAGTGGAAGATGATGTGCCTATCTGTGCTGTCCATGGAGGACATAGAAGATGTGTACAGTATTGGATTTAAGATAACAGGGTTTCTGCTGTTTGGAATCGGTGGATACTTTGGACATCGACAAATTAGGAAGATGTCGGCGGCAGTTTTGGCCATGGTAAAGCTGCCAGCCTTATGTGAAGGATTAATTCATACCTCGAGCTCTCAGACTCGGGCTTAACGAGCTCAACTGCAAGCTCGACATGATTTCTGAAAATTGTAGGCCACTTGCGCCTCCTGGAACTCACCGGCATGAAGGATTCGATCTTGGAGAAAGCTAATCGAGCACAGACCGGGCAGATAATTCTAGTTGTTTGGATTCACCACTGAGTGTACCAGCAGAACTTGAAGGCAGACAGAAAACATTCTGGCCACCCAAACAATTGTTGTTTATCTGAATGTGGCCTCCCTGCTGGCCTTGGACAGGCCATCTTATCTCAAATTGCTCCTGGAGGATACGTAAACTAGAAGCTCTGCCTGCCGCCCCCCCTCCCCAAGGACATCTGTGGCCTTATCAGACCCTTGATGCTGATAGACACTGTACCATCTTATCAGAACTTTGGAACTTTCTGGAGTGTTTATGGATAACTCACAGTCTTTGTCGACCTCTATGCTTAAATGTATTACGATGTTATTGTATGTTGCAGCTTTATGTTGCGAGGTCTTTTTTTGCATCTTTTACCCTGTTTCCCAGCCAGGACATGATGTGAGACATGATATTTTTTTCAGCTTCCTCCACCCTCGTGTTCTCTTTTTCACATCTGCCTGTATGTTGTATGTAACAGGTCTCTCTTGTAAATGAGCCTGCGAGGCTCAGTAGGAACTAACCAGTATAAATAAAGGTCTAATAATAAAAAGAAAAGCTGCTGGAAGTTTGGATCACCAACCTTTGGATCTCTGGAATGTTCTGGACATAAAACCTGAAGCCTCTTGCAATACGTTTTGCTTTGGGGGTTGTACACGTCACAGAAGAGTCTTGTGGCGCTGCAGGAAAATAAATAATTAAAGCAGCAAACTACTAAACTGAGACAGTTATTTATATTTTTAATGTGTTTTTTTTTCCTTCTTACCCCTCTATTCTTGTTGGATACATGGAACCAAAGGACGTCTGACTCTCATACTGTTGAAACAATCATAACAGAAGTATTTTAGAAAAGCTACATTTTGTTTGTATCACTCTTACTGAAGAAGCGTTCACCTTAGCATAGCATCGCTCCATATGTCGTAGTGCCACCTTTGGATTGATCGGATGACCGCAAGACACGCAGAAAATCTGCAGGTCTGTGTCCTCGCTGTCTCCTTCGTTCACCTGCGATTTAAAAAGCAGTTTTATCGTTGCAGCTCTGCATCTGGACAAGCGGTCAGTTCATCGAAGGAACTGAAGCGCCGCACCTCCTCGTCCTGCTGGACCGCTTGCTGTTTGGCCTTGGCGATGATGCCCTCCAGCTCGTGGAAGCGTCGCTCCATCTCCGTGAGGCGGAGCCGGGCGTTCTGCTGTTCTCTGCGGATGCGCTCCAGCTGCTTCTTACCCTGCTCCTCGGCGATGCATGGGCTCTGCTGCCACTGCTGGATACGCTGCGGGAGGATCTCATAGATACGGCTGTTGATCGAAAGACACAAAGATACAGCTAATCATGTTTTTTTTTTACTACACCCCCTTTTTTCTCCTTGTGAAGATCTATAAAAATACTCCAAGCTGTAAATAAAAGTACAGGTGCAGGTGTGTATAAAAGTTCAGAGCTCTTACTTAGCTGCTAACTTCATGCCACAGTCATCAGAACAGTATTTGGAGTTGAGCCTTGCTGCATTCATACAGTTAGGCCCGAGGCACTGACGCCGACCCCCACTGTCCCGAAAATCCCCCCTATCACTGTGTCTGTTTCTGTCTTTGTGCTTCTGCTTCTGTTTATGACGACGCGATTCTTTCTAAATAATAAAAAAGAAAATTATCAGTCAGGATGTTTTCATATTTCAGGAGTTTGTTCTCTACAAAGGAATAACTTACTTTTTTGTCGAACTTCTTTTCTCGTCTCTTGACGTGCTTCACCTTTATAGCTTTCTTACGCATGACGGGACTGAAAGCTGGCTCTTCATCATCATCACTGCCCCACAGCTGTGTGAGAAGGCAAACATCATATATGCCTTTCTGATCAAACGTTTGACTGAAAGCGTGCAGGTTTAGAAGCGTTAATGTGGTGTCAGTCTACCATGCTGCTGTTCAGTCCCGCCTCCTTGTACTGCTGGTAGAGATCTGCCTCGCTGTCGTCGTCGTCCGAGTAGCGCCTCCTTCTGTGGTGGTTGTCCCTCCTTTCACGCAGAAAAAACTCCTCTTCCTTCACTCGCAGCATTTTCTGCTCAAAAGCACATTCACAAGGGGTCATTGTTTTCTGCATACACCAAAGCAACGTGCAGTTACACTAAAGAAAAGATCTCAGTTCAGACTTTTTCTTTAAAAGTTCTGAACGTGTGCCTTGTGAAATCCTACAGTGAAATCTGCCACGATATAATCTGATTTACAACCTGACTGAGACAAAGTGACTCACCCTGGCTCGAACCACACACTGCCTGAACCGACACTTCTGTCGGATTTTGTTGGGTCCTCCAAACTTCTTCATGTCCTTGCAGAAGTCACACTGGGCGCAGTCCTCGGTCCTTCTGCAGGGCTCACATTCCCCACACATACGGACCGATCGCTTCACCTGGAAAAATAAACAAATAACAATAAAAGCAATTTAGGTTTCAACATTTAAATAAGATGTTGTTAATAATACTCTGTTTCTTTTGAATATGTTGGTAATTATCCGCAGCAGCTTACTTTAGATCCACGCCTCCTTTCACTCCTATAGTCCGGAGTGCTTGGGGTGCTGTACTGTACTTCTCCTCTGTCCGACTCAGATTCCTTTTCACGATTCTTTTTTGATCTATATTTTACTTCCAAAGTTGGATTCTCTTCTGCTCACCACAAGAAAATTAAATTATGTTAAACAGCTTTAACAAAAGAGCAACTACTGCAATGAAAGAAAATTCCTTGCTTACCTCTGCAGCTCATGCAGTACCACTCCTGTATGGCTTTCGCCATCTTCTCAGTGATGTTGATGCAGTGTCCGTGGAACCACTCGTTGCAGTTGTCACAACCACTGGAAAAGAGAAAAAAAAAATTATGAGCCCTGTAGGATCTTAACATTAGACTGGTTGAAACAGCAGATGTGGTTGGAAACTTACATCATGAAGCAGTTTATGTCTGGTTTACGACAAATGCAGTAAAGTGGAGCATTCTCCCCCTCCATGCTGCTAGTCTCAGGTCCCGGTGCCGGGTCAAAGTCAGACATTTCACTCTCCTGAAAAGTACATCATAAATAAAAATCCACATTAAAACAGGAAGGGCAACATCCATCCATTTTCTTCTGCTTATCCGGGGTCAGGTCGTGGGGGTAGCAGCCTAAGTAGGGAGGCCCAGACTTCCCTCTCCCCAGCCACTTGGTCCAGCTCCTCCGTGGGAATCCCAAGGCGTTCCCAGGCCAACCGAGAAACATAGTCCCTCCAGCGTGTCCTGGGTCTTCATCTGGGCCTCCTCCTGGTGGGACGTGTCCGGAACACCTCACCAGGGAGGCGTCCAGGAGGCATCCTAAACAGATGCCCGAGCCACCTCAACTGGCTCCTCTCGACATGGAGAAGCAGCGGCTCTACTATGAGTCCCTCCCAGATGGTCGAGCTTCTCACCCTATCTCTAAGGGAGAGCCCAGACACCCTGCGGAGAAAACTCATTTTGGCCGTTTGTATCCGAGATCTCGTTCTTTCGGTCACAACCCAAAGCTCATGACCATAGATGAGGGTGGGAACGTAGATCGATCGGTAAATTGAAAGCTTCGCCTTTTGACTCAGCTCTCTCTTCACCACGACAGACCTGTACAGCTCCTGCTTTACAGCAGATGCTGCACCTATCCGCCTATCGATCTCACACTCCATTTTTCCCTCATTCGTGAACAAGACCCCAAGATACTTGAACTCCTCCACTTGGGGCAACACTTACCAGAAATTGGTCTGCTGTTATACACAACCTGATCCGTGTATTCCTGCACTGCTCTGAATTTATCAATACTTTTGTTTTTCTTTTGAGTTAGCTCCTACAAGCAGCATAACAATTTAAGTTTTACACTCTCCAGTTCAAAACTTATTTCTGAATGAAGAGATGCTATATCAGTCAGATATTGGGGAAAAAAAAAGATTAGGGGAAATAAATCAGAGCTGGGTGCCTGAGCAGCACAATGAAATGTGTTAGAAGACCTAATAAAGCAGTGTAGTGTTTAATTACACTTTTACTTAAAAAAAAACCCGTGATAGAGCCATTTCCAATTTCTGTACACCAATACCATTAATTTATGTCAGGAGCACAATAATTGCAAATGAAGACCTTTACATGGTTTTTCTGAACACATCACTGATAGTCATATTTAAAATTAAACTGTACCTGCTAAACTCTTTCATGAAAACAGTCCCGAGTCTTTTTACATGAAACAATTTGATGTCCCTATCTATAATCATTTCATTTCAGCAGATCAGATCAATTCAGTATAGCACCAAGTCACAACAAAAGTTATTTCAGGGCACTGAACAACAATATTCACTTACATTATATGACAATTCATAAAAGTTATCTATCTAAAGAAGGAAGGAAAGACGCCTGCAGATTGCGTAAAACAAATGTGTGGTAGATATGACAATAAAGTCGTTTGTGTCACTCACAATAAAGATAAATTGACATCACAACATATAATTAATCTTATTAGTCATAAAATGTTAAGGACTTAACTACATGACCCCTATGAAATACATTTTTAATTCATAGTTAAAACATGATTGCAACTTGTCTTGTTCCAGATCAACTCTTATTTATCAGGAGCCTGGCTGTGTTTGCTGTAGAAACAGATCATATTGATTTGAGGTGGTTTGCATCAAGTATTAATCTGTCACTCCCTCAAAACCTTTGTTTACAAAACTGACAGATGCGTGCTAAGTTAGCTTGCATCGGGTAAAGTAACAACGACCGAATTGTTTTTAGCTAACTGAAATAATTCTTCATATAAAAAATCGGTTATCAACTAAAATAAATGTTAAAATTATAATTAAATTTAAAGGACGCCGTCTATGCAATTACACTGAAAAACGTTAACTTCTTAGCTAAGCATGCTAATGGAAACAGCTATGTTATGTTAGCAGGCGTTTCCAGATCACAAGTCTAAGATAACATTAAATAAAAATCTGAAAACTGACCATCTTTCAAGATATTCTGTCTTGAGTTGCGACACAAAAACGCCGATAGCCGAAAAACAACTAATATTATACGAAGCAGAATTCCTGTAGCTCCACTGTTAGCATAACGCTAACCTTAACGCCGGATATCACACTTCTTCTTCTTCTTCTTGTGGTGTTTTTTGGCGGTTGGCAAACAACTTAATGGTGCATTACCGCCACCAACTGGTAAGGAGTGTGGATCAGGATTCTAATATCTAGACTAATTATACGGGGGGGGGCTGTAAATAAATATATAAATAAATAAAAATAAATAAAATAAAAAAGACAAATCCTAGAAAATACTTTAAACGTTGATTAAATCCTTCTAAATAAACCAGTATTTCGAAGAAACTGAAATAGCAACGGATAACATTTTTCTTCCCTCAACACTTCTGATAACTTGTATCTTGTTTGAATCTCTTCAAGATTTCGGGTAAGAATATATCGTTCCTTATTATATTTATTACAGTTTAACATAACATGCTCTACTGTTTCTTCCTGGCCACAAAAGCCACAATTTCCTGTATTATTTTTCCCCATTTTAAACAGTGTGCTGTTCAACCCTGTGTGTCCAGTTCTGAGTCTTGATATTATTATATCTTCTCTCCTGTTTTTCCTCCCACTTCTAATTTCTCCTACTTTCCTTTGTATTTTATAAAACCATCTTCCTTTTCGTTCTTCTTCCCATTGTTTCTGCCATTTTTCCTTCAATTTTTGTTTGATGATGTTCTTAGTTTCTAATCTACTGAAATTAATTTCCATATCGATAGTAATATGTTTTGTGGCTTCTTTTGCTGCTTTATCTGCCATCTCATTTCCATTTATTCCGATATGTGCCGGTATCCACAAAAATTCTACTACGAGTCCCATTTTTTGTATTCTGTATAGTGTCTGCTGAATTTCTAGAAGAATATCTGGTCTACTTTCTGAGTTATTGTTGTTTAAACTTTGCAATGATGAGCTTGAATCTGAACATATTATTGTTTTCAGTGGTCTAATGTCCTCTATCCATTGTACTGCTAAAAGTATTGCAAGCAGTTCCCCTGTATACACCGAGAGTCTATCGTTAATCCTTTTATTAGTTGAGACATAAAATTCTGGAATAACAAATGCTATTCCCGTCTTACCATGTGAATCCTTGGATGCGTCTGTGTAGATTTGAACGTAGTCATAATAGCTATTAATATAACTTTGTATACTATGGTGATTTAAGTTGCATTTCTTATCTTTCTTCTTTTCAAGTATTGAAAAGTCAGTTTTAACTTCAGGGAGAATCCATGGATGTATTACAGGTAATGGGACAGTTGGACTAATAACAAGTTGAGCCACTCCTAGTTCTGCAGCTTTCTGTTCTACTGACCATCCAAAGCTTTTTATTTTTTTCCTCTCCTTCTCCCAGCAGGGTTTTAGGGTGTTATGTGTTGGATGAAAGTGATTGTGGCCCTGCAAACTTGCCCAGTAGGTTACTGATAACTGGGATCTTCTTAACTCTAATGGCATTTCCCCCATTTCTACCTGCAAAGCTGCCACTGAAGTTGTTCTAACAGCTCCTATACAAAGTCTTAATGCTTGATGTTGAATGCGATCAAGGTTTTTAAGAACCGAATCTGCTGCTGATCCAAATACCACACATCCATAATCTAATACTGACCTTATCAATCCAGTATAAATAGTTTTTAATGCAATTCTGTCTGCACCCCATCCACTTCCTGTTAAGCATCTCATTATATTTAGAACTTTCTTACATTTATCTAGAATGTTTTGAATGTGTATCTTCCATGTTAGTTTTTCATCTAACCATATTCCCAAAAATTTAATATATTTTACTTTCTCTAATTCCTGGTTATAGAGTTTGAGTTTTAATTTGCATTCATTTCTTTTTCTTGTGAAAAACATTACTTTCGTTTTATCAGTTGAAAATTTTACTCCCCATTTATATGACCATTCTTCTACCTTTGTAATAGCTTCCTGTATTTTTTTAACAATAAATTCCAAGTTCTTTCCTCTTTTCCAAATTGCTCCATCGTCCGCAAAAAGAGAAACTCCCATCTCATTTCCAATTTCATAAAACATATCATTGATCATTATCGAAAATAGTAGAGGACTCACTATACTTCCTTGAGGTGTCCCATTCTCAACAAAATATTTTTGAGAATAGCTCTTTCCTACTTTAACTTGGATAGATCTGCCCAACAAAAATTCCTTGATCCATCTAAACATACGACCTGAAATACCCAATTTACACAGCTTAATTAACAACCCCTCCTTCCACATCATGTCATATGCCTTTTCAATGTCAAAGAAGACCGCTGCAACACTTTCTTTATTTACTTGAGCCCTCCTTATTTCATGTTCTAAACATATAGATGGATCCATTGTATTCCTTCCTTTCCTAAAACCACTTTGGTATCCAGCTAAGTAACCTTTCATCTCTATATGATATGTCAGTCTATTATTTATCATTTTCTCCATGATTTTACAGATGTTGGATGTTAATGAAATGGGTCTGTAACTACCTGGGTTAGTACAATCTTTCCCTGGTTTGCATATTGGGATTATTATGGCTTCCTTCCAACTTTGTGGTATTTCCCCTTTCTCCCATACTTTGTTATAGAGTTCAAGCAGTATGTTTTTGGATGAATCATTAAGATGATATATCATTGTATAACGGATCTGATCCTTGCCTGGAGCGGATTCTCTGAATTTATTTATTGCTCGATTCAGTTCTGACTTTGAAAATGCAACATTTAGTAAATCTGAAGTTTCATCATGTTGGGTTAATAAGTGTTCATTTTCAATTAAAGTCATTTGTCTCCTTCGCTGCCTTTCTTTAGTAATGTTTTCTGAACTATGAATCTTGCTAAAGTTTGTTCCTAACATTTCTGCTTTTTCCTGGTCTGATATTGCTGTTCTCTCACTTTCATGTAAAACTGGTAATCCATATTGTTTTTTAATCCCATTCATTTGCCTAATCATTCCCCAAACTTTACTAATATCAGTTTCTCTTCCAACCGAATTACAAAAGGATGTCCAGAACTCTTTCCTTGCACTTTTAATTGTCCTCCGTACTTCAGCCTGCAGTTTTTTATATTCAATTAAATTCTGGAAGTTGTGATTTCTTTTTAGTAACTTGAAAGCTTTATTTCGAGATTTAATGACTTTGTCACATTCTTGTGTCCACCATGGTACAATCTTTTTCCTATTTCCACCACTCGATCTTGGAATAGTTTGTTTTGCTGCCTCTAGGATTGCTTCACAAATGCAACTATTTAAATTGTCAATATTTTGATTAATATTAATTTTACTCATTTTTTGATCACTAATATGTTTAAACATATCCCATTTAGCTTTATTAAATAACCATCTTTGTATTCCTACTCTTTCAGAGTTTCTCAATGTAAAATTTATTGTTGTGACTATTGGATAATGATCACTTCCTACTGTTGTGTCTGAAATAATCTGCCATGTACATTTAGCTGCTAATGTGTCAGAAACTATTGTGAGATCTATAGCTGATTCTGAACCATTTCTAATATTCAGTCTTGTTCCATGTCCATCGTTAAGACATACTAAATTTTTATTGTCCATAATTTCTTCAATCACCCTTCCATTTTCATCATCATAATTACCCCATAGTGTATTATGTGCATTAAAATCCCCGCAACAAATAACCTTATCATCCAAGTCTGAATTAATCATGTTTAATGATTCCACATAAAGCTTTTTGCATGGGTTGTAAAAATTTACTATTTTCATTTTTCCATCTTCAGTCCATATTTCAGCTACTATATATTCCAAATCAATACCTATCTGTATTAATCTGTATTGTATTCCTTCTTTAATAAATGTTATACATCCCCCTCCATTTCCCTCTTCCCTGTCTCTCCGTAAGCTAACATAACCTTTTATAACAAAATCCAGTGTGGGTTTCAGCCATGTTTCCTGAACACAAATAATATCTGGTTTCTCTTTAAGCTCTTTAACAAATCCTTTGAATTCCTGTCCATTTGCTATAAGACTTCTTGCATTCCATTGTAAAATAATCAGTTTGTCCTATCATTTGGTTCACCTGACTTCCCATCTGCCTCCAGTTTTTTAGTAACTTTTTCCCATGAAAGATCTTTCATTCCCAAGAATTTCTCTGCTCCTCTTACAATTATTTTTATTTTTTCTGTTTTTTGTTTGACCTGATCAGTGCAATTGATCACATAAGCGATGAACAAAATCAGATTGTCCACTATCAGTCTTGAATCACTGCCTTCTTTTTGACTCATCTCCAATGCTGGTTTATGGGGAGTTCTCAAATCTTCATTCTTTCTTTGCACCGTCTTTACTGCCTCTGCATAGCTTACATTAGTAACTGTTTTAATCTGTTGGATTTCCACCGCCCTTTTCCTGACTTCACATTCCCTAGATGTCACTCTGTGTTGACCACCACAGTTGCAACACTTTTCCTGCACATCATCTTCACATTCTTCAAACTTATGGTCACCACCACATTTGGGACACCTCTGTTTTCCTTTACAAACTGCAGCAATGTGCCCGTATCTTTGACATTTGAAGCAACGCAGTGGTGGGGGAATATAGGCCCTAACTGGGAAACTCAAATAGCCAATCTTGACCCTATCCGGTAGTTCCAATCCCTTAAACTCTAGAAGTACTGACATGCTTTCTATTCTTTGACCATTTTTATTTCTCATCAGTCGTTTTATTGTATTTATTTCCCCTCCATGAATGCTTCGTTTTAGCTTTTCCAAATCTTCATCTACAGGAATCCCAGTTATCACCCCTCGTGTGATCCTATTTTCTCCAAGAATCCTTTTTTCAAACACAACTTTTTTACACACATTGTTAATTTGCATAGCTTTATTTTTTTGTTCTTCTGTTTTGCATATTATCAGTAAATTACCATCCCTCAAAGTCTTGGCCATTTCCACATCACCTATCTTTTTCTTCAGTTCTTTGGATATTGCTATCGGACTAATATAAATATGTTCATCTTCCTTTCTAAATTTTATTATCACTTTAATCTCCTCCTTCACAATCTTTCTGCGAGCACCCCTCTCTCCCTCATCTGAACTTATTTCTCCCCATTCCCTTTTACTGCTCTTGTTAGGTG